GGCGGAAGACAGGAGGGCCTGGCGGGAGATGATCCATGGGGTCGCGAAGAGTCGGACTCGACTGTGCGACTGAACAACAACAAATGATCTTTTGTGAGTCACTGCACACCTAGAATGTGAGACCATCTGTCCTATATATTGGAAAGTGGAGTGATTTCAACCTCACTAAACAGTGATGTTGAAAGATATAAAACCGGACTAGTGGCAAAAGTATTATCTCGGATTTATGAATCAGATTATGACCATATTTTTGTACCAGTTGCAAAATATTCCACAATTAGGATGCTCCTAAGCCCCACAGCTTCCAGAAACATGCAAACGGAATACTTAGACATTAAGGCTGCAGTCACACACACTAAATAATCCACTTTCAATCCACTCTCAGTGGGCTTTCCAACTGGATTTTGCCAGTTCACACAAGTAAAATCCTTTTTACATGGCAAAATAGAGGAACAATTATACATGAAACAGCCACCAGGGTTTACAGATGAAAAGAATAAACATCTCATCTATAAACTTCAAAAGGGGCTTTATGGGTTTAAACAAGCTGCAAAAGCATAATTGGACAAGCTGACCAAGATGCTACTCAAACAGGGCCTCAGACAAGGCAAACCGGACACTTGCCTTTATAGGAGACACAGAGATGGAAGATGGACATTTATCCTGACCTATGCTGATGATCTGATTATTTGCCATGAAAATCAAAATGTCTGTGCTGAGATTATATCCCAATTAAACAGGGAAGTCAAACACCTAGGCAAATGCTAACTTTTACTTGGGAATGCAAACTGAATGAGAACCAGATGGAAGTTATCTTTTTAGTCAAAAGCAGAAGATCCTGGCACTATCATAAAGTCTGAGCCTGGAAGGTGTTCATCCAATGCCCACACCAATGGCATCAGGCTTCTACCAAGAAAAGGTATCTGATGAACCACTGCCAGACAACAATAACTACAGAGCTGCTATAGGAAAGCTTCTATACTTAGCAATGACAACAAGACCTGACATTGCAACAGCTGTAAGTATATTATCCAGAAGGGTTAGCACACCTACCACCAAGGACTAGACTGCAGGTAAGAGGGTGATGAGGTACTTAAAGGGTACTGCACATTTTAAACTGAGATGCCAGCAACTAATATTCCCACAGTGTTGGGATATGCTGTTGCAGACTGGGCTGGAGAAAGATCAGACCTAAGCGCCATTAGTGGTTATGTATTTTTTGTGGGGGTGGTGCTACAAGACATCATTGCCCAAATATCCCCATAATTTCTTCTAATATACTGGGAGTCTTAATGCCTAACTAAAAAAAAAGTATTGTGTTGGTCATCTGAGTGAGTTTACCACCATCTTATTTTCATTTACTTTCACTGTCTGTTTAGAATTTGAATACATGAAGCTGCCTTGTACTGAATCAGACCCCTGGTCCATCAAGATCAGTGTTGTCTACTCAGACCAACAGTGGCTGTCCAGGGTTTCAGGCTTCAGTCTTTCATATCATACCTGATCCCTTTAACTGGAGGTGCCAGAGAGACCTGAGAACTTCTGCATGCCAAGCAGATGCTCTACCACTGAGCCATGGCCCCTTCACCAACTTCAACAAAGAATGGTTAGCAAACTCCTCATAGACCACATAGGCCCCGGGGCCTGGTCCAAAGGCACATGATGTTGCAATCACGCTGAAAACAAGCAGGTCTGGGGCTTCTTGATGTTGAATGGGAGACCATCTGGAAATTCCATGAATGCTCCATTGAGTTCCAGGGAAGACAGATGGGAGACACCCCACAAATAAAGTGGTTACTGGATCGTGTTCATTCAGCTAGGTGGGTTGCAAGATGCACAGTCCCAATAAAGAACGTCATTGGAAGATGCATATAATATTTAATTTAAAATATATATATTTCCAATGTGTTCAAAGTCAGCTCCACTTAAATCAAAGGGATGGCCAGTAAATGCTTTCAATGCAATTGAACAGTTTGCCTGTACTGTGAACCACTTGATGATATAGGGATGTACGTATACGGTGTATGTGTTGGGGCAAGAGCAAGGTGTCACAGCTGAATGCCCAGCTATGCCTGGAAGAAAACGTTTCCCTCACATACTGGTTTTTTCTATGTGTAAAAGGTTTTTTGGGGAGGGGGGTGTTATATGCATGGGAAGCATTGAAATATAAATGCACACAACTGCCTTGCCTGCAGCCGGAGCAGGTTCAGGCCAGGAACACTATGACCACCTGGATTCTTTTGAACATATTTTTAAAAGGGGAAATCATGTACAAGCAGGGGTCGTTTTGTAGAAAAAGAGCTAGGGGAACTCATTAGCACAACTCATTAGCATATGCCACACCCCCTGCCATCACCAGAAGTGTGTCATAAGGCCACACACACCACCCCCAACGGTCCCGGCCGCCGCCGCCGGCCTTGCAGCTCCACTGCCGAGCCCCATGAGGGGCCCGGTGGTGGACCTGCAAGGCCGGCGGGAGTGCAAGGAAGCCCCGCGAAGGCCCTCCCTGGTCCCAGGCAGGCAGGGGTGGGGAGAGGCAGGGAGGAAGCAACTTACCCTGCCTCTTCTCCTGCCTCCTCCTGGCTGAATGAGGGCCGGAAGCAGGGAGGCTGGAAGCAGGGGGCGGGGCTTCGTCATGTGCCCCGCCCCCCGCACCTCACCTGGGGGGACTGCGATCCCCTGCGATCCCCCGCGATCCCCCCTGAAATGACCTCTGTGTACAACTGACCTCTTAGTTAGCTTCTGGCCTTTAAGCTTGTCTCTCTGCCTCCTTCCTGTATCTAATGTGAATTTTAACATCTGAAATATGTCTGTCTGGAAATACTCTTCCCCCAACCACATTCCCAGATAGAGTAAAAAGTCATTCTTTGATTTATTCAATACAAAGAGTATTGCTGGGTTAAATTCAATGTCCATTTAGTCTAGCCTCCAGTTTCTCAGTGTGGACACTCAGGATGTTAGGAGGGTGAGAGGAGGAGGCTGGAGCTGGTTCCCAGTTCCTTGTTCACATTGTCTCATTCCGGTTCGCAAATCCACCCACAAATATTGATGATACCATAAAAGCCTCTGCACTCCAAAAATGAGGGTTGGATCACTACAAACCATACACACCACATTGAGGAGACCCCGCCCTACAAGAGGCCCTATGCTGCGCCCTGTCCCAAAGCATAGGTTTTGTGCAAACCGCACCAGGAGCAATGAACTAGGGTGCTTTCAGGAGAAATGCAGATTAAGAAACTGCGGTATTTTGTACCCCAAATAGGCTATGGATCACCCTGAGTCACACATACCCCACATTTTGGGGACAATGACATGCAAGAGGAAATGCACTTTTGCCGGGTCCAAATACTGGTTCTGTCACCAACAGCTTCCATTTGGGGTGCCCTCAGGAAGCTTCTATGATATGCCCCGAATAGCATCTTTCCATTATAAACAAAGGGGCTTCCCAGAGGGGACTGAGTCCTGACACGGAAAACAGGTGCCTAGGGGGAGACATGGCTAAATTTACGTCCTGACTGAAGTACGGAAGTTGTTGGGGTTTTTTTGAGGCAGATGTGAATGTTAGTACCCAAGAAGGCTTTTGGATTACTTCAAATTGTAACCTCCTCTGGGTTCCAATTGAATCTAGGTTGATAGATCGTTTAGCAGATCCGGTTTTCAAGGCCCTGCTGTCTCCCATTTCATTTCGCAACTCCCCTCCATGTGTCTGCCTAGAAAGCAGGGCAATTAGAGTCAACTGTTGACAAGCTGTGACTGCCACCAAGCCACATCAAACACATACCTTTCAAAATTAAGATCAATGTAGTTTGCCTCAAAAAGCCCCTTCCTTATTCAAAGTTCCCTCCCCTTTTTCAGTTCAGCTGTCAACCGTGAGTTAAATCAAACACTCTTGGCCTGGGTGCAAAGAAGCCTGCAGTCACTGCCCGGGCCCAGGTTATTGGTACTTCAGGCCCCAAATCTGTTTAATTCGATAGCAAGCTTTTTTAAGGATATGCAAGACATAATGTGACCCAGGAATCAACAGCCCTGGAAACCTAATTCTGTTCTCAAGTAAGAAAAGTAATAAATGCTCTGTAGAATATAAATACAGAGAAGGGTGTCTCTGAGCATGCACAGAGAGTAGTGATGTCACTGTTGAATCACAGTCTATCTCTGTGTCCATTTGTCTGAGCAAGGCGGGAAAGCTTGGAGACTGAGGTCTGAATGCCAGGAGTGAATTCCAGGAGATTTTGAGTGTTGGGACCTCTCTTTTTAGGAATTAAAGAATTGGACTTGGAGGCTCTGCAAAAATCTTCCCATCTGTCTGAGTCGTCCTTGTGCTTCTTAATTTTTAAAAAAATATAAAATAATCATTGCATACATTCTTTTTATATTATGAACTCTGTAGCCAGTAAATAATGCAACATGCATAGTGTCAGAGGAGTAGATATTACATCTTGTTAGAGTAAAGCAATATACTATGTTCAGTCACACTTCTGTTTTGCAGACAGATGAAACTTCCTAACTAGATTTGCCTCCCTGTCTTGAACAGAAAAATTAACTGCAGCTTTGCTGATTTCCCCCCCTTAAACTGAAATACATCATCACACACATCGATATGGTACTGGTCTAGTAAATGAATACTTAATGTTGGTCATCCATCCATCTGCCTGGGCCTTAATCCAGCAAAGAGCGAGATCAATGAGCTTCAACTCATCCAGTTCTTAGTGGTCACCATATTTAATTTCTGACATGACAAGTGCTGGAATACATGGTTGCTGGAAAGTCATAAATGAGGATATCCAAAGGCTGACAGATTACACAGTGGTGAAACACAAGTACTCTGTATATGCTCCACTCATTGCCTGATTGCTTCTCATATTACACATCAGAGTCTTAGAAGTGGGGGAAAGGTTCTGGTTGAGGCATGGACCCTCTTTAAGCCAGGAAGCATCTTGAAAGAGGGTTCCAATGTCAATTACCACTTGCCAAGGTTAATTTGAACAGTAACTGGTACTTACATGTCCAAATGGGTCAAGATGATTGTTGGTCAGCTTGAGTTTTTGGAAGGAAACCAGCTGTCTCATCCAGTGGGCACCGGTTGCTGGTGAGTCCGGATGGACATATAATCTTCCAGGCATGGCTGGTTCAGCTTTCCCAGTTACTGACCTAACAAAAAGGAAAACAAAAGATTTTTTATAGCTGGAATTTTCAAACAGATAGAGATCTACCAACAGCTTCACACCACCAGTTCTATCCCTGTCTTATTCATACTCCGTATTCACCACAGTATCTCTGTATGCCACATAAATCAATCTGGAACAGTCTTTTCCTGCCTTTGAATCACTGATGATTAGTGTACAGTGCAGCTGAATGAGGTGGTACAGTCCTAATATGTCAGAACAGCCTGTACCATTTCATTCTGCAAGTAGGGAAAAATGAAATTTTGGTTAGCCATGGTACATACTTTTAAAAAATGCTTTACAACAGCAGGAAAGGACCTGGCATGTATATGTATTTTGTTTGCAGAGAGAGGGAATTTATATAATAGATTAAAAATGGCATCCTCGCATACAACCTGACATGGCACAATCCAATCTACCCTCTGGGAACAACTTAATTTTTCAGAGGTTCACTAAACCTGAAGTTAGAGCCATTCTACACATGGAGAAAACTGAGGTGATGGCATTCTGGACTGGATCATTAAGGCTAGGGAAACAGGAGGTTCATATTTTTCTTTGCTTCTAACTCTCTGAATTTAACAATGGGGGACATCAGATACTCAATACCCCCCATTCCATTTTACTGTATACAGGGTCCCCCCCCCCGAGGGCAATAAAAATACTGAATTCTAGCACCTAATTAATCCAGTTTTTGTAGACCATTTCTGAGAATTCAGGCTGCAACTATGGAAAAAGAGGGAACAAGCCAGTATGTAATTAGGAGAGAGATTATATCATTTGGGTACTGTACATTCCAACAGGCGGCTACCTTTGCTCAAAAATGAGCTTCTCTCTGTAATGCACAGTCTTTCAGAGAGGAAAACAACCTTTCCTAGTTGAAGACAAGGGAGAATCCCTGACCATTCTTTGGTTTTGCTCTGAACAGAGTCATCCCACCCAATGTTAACCCGTTATTTCGACATGTTCCTTGTCCTGTTCCATCCTCCCTGCCAATTGCTCTAGGTCTGGGAATCCCAATATCTAGCAAGCTGCCAAAGTAACAGAGCCAAAAAGCTAACTCAGTGAAGTTCTACTTGATTAAGGTAAATGGGTGCAAGACTACAGGTTCTCTCTCTTTCACAAAAGTCAAGGATGCTTTAAAAGAGTTCATTTAGGTTGGACTGTGACTTTATTTCTAGTCTTAAACAAGCACCTGATAACTGAACAAAATCCCCTCAAAGCGCCCTCCTATATGGCATTACATACCATTTATTATCTGCAAATTTGTATCTGTGGTCATCAGAGGGCACAATGTCCATCAGCAGAATGTACTTGGTTTTGGGGTTGAGCCCTGTGACTTTCACTTTGTAGCTGGGAAACATACGCCTAAAAACAAACAAACAAATAATACAGCATGAAGAAACTGGCAAAGAGATTCAATGATCTTAAAAAGAGGATGCTGTGACTCTTGAACCAACTGCAGCTGGCCACAGCCAGTAGAGATAGTTGGAAAGTACCTTAACCATTCAGGAACTGAGATATGTTTTAACTTATGACCCAGATCAGCTGGTGGGTCATAATACTATTTTTGAATCTCAAATGGGCCCAGCAGAGATACATTTGCAATGTCCCTGGTCTTCTACCAAGTGCTCAGGGCCCTCTCCATTATGCATCCCTGGAGTTTCTACTTCATCTACAGAACAAAGTTTGAGTCCAGTGGCACCTTTAAGACCAGAAACATTTAATTCTGTGTATAAGCTTTCATGTGCATGCATACTTCTTCAGATATTCCATCCACCATTTTGGAGAGGCCAGTCCTCTGTGTGCTTACTCAGAAGTAAGAGTTGTTTCACTCAGCGGGCTTTGGTCCTTGGCAAATGTACATAGGATTGCAGCCTCATCCGCGAACTCTGCACCCATCTATCCTCACAAAATGGTGATTTTTCAGCTATTCAGAATGAGACTCACTACCATTCAAAATTACAGGCCACATACCACTTTGATGTTAAGACATGAGAGTATTCATATATGTGTGTTAGAAATAGAGAGTATAGTAAGAGTTGTTTCACTCAGCGGGCTTTAGTCCTTGGCAAATGTACATAGGATTGCAGCCTCATCCGTGTACTCTGCACCCATCTATCCTCCCAAAATGGTGTAACTCAGCTTGGAGGGAACACTGCTCACTACCATTCAAAATTACAGGCCACGTGCCACTTTGATGTTCAGACATGAGAGTGTTCATATATGTGTGTTAGAAATAGAGAGTATTCTCTCTTCCACCTGCTTCCAGACCCCAGGGAGGACACTGAATCCTGAAGAGGGACAAGTAATTTCACAATAACTGCGGTTGGACAGGATATCCCCCAAACTCAAGACAAAAACGGGACCTTAGCACAGCATGCGTGTTTCTCCTTCTTCCCCATTTTACCATAACAGCCCTATGAGGTGGGCTGGATTGATCGAGAATGACTAGCTCATGATATCTAATGAGGTTCACAGTGAGCAAGGATCCGAGGGTGGATCTCCTCTAGCCTAGTTCAATACTCTAATGAATGGATCTCAAACTTTATGAAGTGGGGGACTTATTTCTGAAGCTGGAGTCCACAGTCTTTCCAAGCCTGCAGGCACTTTTAGAATTCTGACATAATTGGTGGACAGGAGGTGGAGTCAGCGACACAATGGTTGCTCCAGCTTACCTTCAGTCACACAGTAAAAATCCTCGTACCTTGATGGCAGCGGCTGACAAAGCTTTAAAAACCTGAACAGCAAATCAAAAGCCTTGCTGGGCAAAAGCCCCAGTTGGCACTGCCCACTTTCTAAAAGCACTTAAAGGTAAAGGTTCCCTTGCTCAAAAGCCAGTCGAATCCGACTCTAGGGTTGCGGTGCTCATCTCCGTTTCAAAGCTGAAGAGCCAGCGCTGTCCGAAGAGCACCGCAACCCTTTTGAGCAAGGGGACCTTTACCTTTATACACTTACTGGGGAGTAAGCACCATTGAACAAAGCTAGACTTACTTCTGAGTAAGCACATATAGATTTGATGTAGTTGTTATAGTAAAAGGGCACTATCCACCTGAATAAACAAGCCTAGAATCGAGGCTGTAACAATCCTGGCCATGATCCATCTGTAAGTGTTCCCATGCAAGCAAGCCCCAGGGAACAGCTGGCAGCTACTGTTGTCACCAAGAGTCTTTGGCCACATAAGAAACACAGTCAGAGGAATTATTAGATTTTTGCAATGAAAGAAAACAACAACAACATTTAATAGACAGGATGCAGGCAGGAAATATAACGGTATTGGGGCTGAAGTTTCAGAGCTTTATGAAACTTGATTTACAGTTTATTTATCCGTTTGGTTCATGCACGTACCCTTTCCTCCCTTCTTCTTTTTTTGTTTTCTTTCTTTCATTTTTATCCCTCCCCTTCCCCCCTCCCCTCTGTTTAGGGCTAGGAAAGAAACTGGGTTTACAGGAGGGAAAGGGTTGTTTGATAATGTGCCCTATGTTATATATTGAAAAACAACAATAAACCTTAGGGGGTTGTTTATTTGGTGTCATTTTAAAAAACCTCCCTGCAAACAGAAAACCAGCAAAGAAAGGCGGTAGAATCTTTTCCCCTTCTGGGCATGTGTTCTCTTTGCATGGACTTTTTAACAGAAAGAAACTTTTGGTTCTGGAATCCACCATCTGCATTCACAAATGTTACAATCCATTCCACCCTTTCTGGGCTTTCCTATTGGATTCTGCTGCGTTTGTAAACCACACTCTAGAACAGTGATGGCGAACCTTTTAGAAACCGAGTGCCCAAACTGTGACCCCAAACCCACTTATTTATTGCAAAGTGCCAGCAAGGCAATTTAACCTGAATACTGAGGTTTTACTTTAGAAAAAACAACTCATACATTAACTTAAGATGATCCAAACAAAGTAAGGAAAGCAATTCCAAATTCTTTCATTGACTTTAAATTATTTGGCAGAGAGAATTCGACACTTTAATGATGGTCTGGGCCTGGGTGGGGCGATGGCATGCCTGCCCAAAGGGAGGGCTCTGAGTGCCACCTCTGGCACCCGTGCCATAGGTTCGCCACCACTGCCCTAGAACTATAGCCTTGCCCATCAGCTACCCAGATAAACACACTCATCTGAAGAACTGAGGGCACCGCAGCTCATACCCTGCTACAAATTTTGTCAGTCTTTAAGGTGCTACTGGACTCTTCCTCTTTTCTACATGTTAAACAGTATGGATTCAGGCACTCCCAGTACCTGTAGGCAAGGGAGATTTGTTATTTTATTGTAAATGCCAGCCTTGGGGGGGGGGGGCTAGTATAACTTTAAGACCAAAATATGAATTAAGAAGTCTCTGGTTTGAATCTCGCCGGCTCCTTGAACAGCCTTAAGCATGTCAAACTCTTCCACATGACCTCCTCTCTGCAATATGGAAGTAATACTGACCTACTGTGTATTTATTTAGGACATTTTTATCCAGCTCTTCCTGAGATTAAGACGCTGAGCTGCAGACCAGAAGGTCTGTAGTTTGGCAGTTCAAAACCCTAGTGCCGCGTGATGGAGTGAGCTTCCATTTCTAGTCCCAGCTCCTGCCAACCTAGCAGTTCAAAAGCAAGAAATTGCAAATAGATAAATAGGTACCACTTCGGTGGGAAGGTAACAGTGTTCCGTGTGCCTCAGCGTTTAGTCATGTCAGCCACATGGCCACGGAAACATCTTCGGACAGTGCTGGCTCTTTGGCTTGGAAACGGAGATGAGCACCACCTCCTAGAGTCAGATTTGACTGGCTTTCAAGCAAGGGAAACCTTTACCTTTACTTAACCCAATTTATAAATGCTGGCCTAGTTATGCCATATTGTGAGATGGGGGAAGGGGTCTGTGCCTGCTTGATCCCCCCCCCATTAGCCAGCTGGTCTTTACAAGGACCTCCAGAGGATGCAAACTGGAAGGGATAATTCTAATTGGGGTTTGCTATGCCAGTGATCTGGGGAGAGGCTTGCCAGCTGCTGAAGACCAGTTGACTTCACACTCCAAGGGCTGGATTTTGCTTCTGGCCACCCCCCCACCCCCCACCCATCCCCATCATTTTTCTCTTTCCTTCTTTGGAAAGGTCCACTAGGTTTCAGGATGTGTCCAAATCAAAACCAAATATGAGGACAAAAACAGCACCTTAAACACTCCCATGATGTACACGTATAAATAATACCAATTAATGTCTGCCCGTGCTCAACTGCCTTACCAACAAAAATGCATCAGCTGCTTTGGATAGCCTCTCGATCTATGCCTCTACAGAGCTGTAGAATGTGACATGTGGTTCTCTCCCCCCCCTCCATGAGATAGCCTGGGGTGGAAAAAGGTGGCTAACTCAGGATGACTTCAGGTGGGGCAGCCGTGTTGGTCTGAAGCAGCAGAACAAAGTTTGAGTTCAGTGACGCCTTTAAGACCAACAAAGTTTTATTCAGAGTGTCAGCTTTTGTGTGCAAGCACCCTTCATCTGATATGGTGAAAGAGAATTTCCTCAACCATTACAGCTAGGAAGAAGGGGAGGTTGCCAGGAAGGGCTAGTTAGAATCAAGATGCATAAGTAACTGGGCGATTGTAGCTGAGATTGGATTAAGGCAGTTGTTAAGATCTGTGAATTGCAGTAAATTAGCATACAAGTACAGGAGTTAACAGGGCTCTTTTTGTAGAAAAAGCCCAGCATAATAGGCCACACCCAACAGCAGAAACACATTAGCATATTGGGCCACACCCCTGACAGCACAGCTCATTAGCACATTAGGCCGCCCCCCCATGTTACTAGAAGTGTGGTCATTCAGCCACACCCACCTTTTGCTTGTTATTCTGTTTACCTTGTTTGTTGTCAAAACCCAGGGTCTTTTTTTGTAGCAGGAACTCCTTTGCATGTTAGGCCACACACCCCTAATGTAGCCAATCCTAATGAGTTTCTGCTGTTGGGTGTGGCCTATTTGTTGTCAAAACCCAGGGCTTTTTTTGTAGCAGGAACTCCTTTGCATGTTAGGCCACACACCTCTAATGTAGCCAATCCTAATGAGTTTCTGCTGTTGGGTGTGGCCTATTATGCTAATGAGTTCCTGCTGGGCGTGGCCAACTTGGGAGCCAGCCGGAACTCCGTTCCTGTGCGTTCCTGCCCAAAAATAGCCCTGGTTAACAAACAGATGTGAGAATGAAGTTTTGAGGCCGGCGGCACCAACAACATTCAACAAAGTTCAATACCCAGAATTGAACTTTGTTGAATTTGGTTGGTCTTGAAGGTGGCATTGGACTCAAAACTTTGTTCTCACATCTCTTTGGTAACTTTTGTATTTGTATGCTAATTTACTTGTAAACAAAGTACAAAGCAGGTGACTGACGGGTACAAAT